GCTAAGAGGGGGAAGGCCCGGCTGCGCTGTGAACAACAGAGCCTGCAGCAGAGGCTGGAGCAACTGCTCTCGCCCCCCGGCAGCGAGCGGACGAGGGCGGACAGCCTGGACTCGTCCCAGCTCTCGGAGCACTCTAGTTCTGACGGAGGTTAGTGAGGGAATGGTGTGCCTGGCTGCCCCTGGGCTGGGCAGGGAGGGAGGGGTGGCCTCCAGGCCCTCACCCAGGCCATCCCTGTGTTCAGAGGAGGTCGAGATCGATGTGGACGGAGTCATGTTTGGCGGGGACCTACTGGCCAGCTTCAGCACCGGGAGGGACCACAGCTACTCCAGTCCCCACGGGCCCTGGTCCTGACAGCGCCTGGCGCTAGCTCAGCCCCGCACTTCCCCGGGGTTGTTGCAGAAGCGCTCTGGAACTGCCTTCGCCTGCTCCACCTCCTGCCTCCCCACCCACCGCACAGCCTGCCTCTGCCGGAAACGCAGCCTCGGCTGCTCAAAGAAGGGGCTGAGGATGGGGACAGGCGCCTGGCTCTGCCTCCCGCAGCTGGGCCACTAAGCTGAACTGGCTGCAGCGCTGGGCATGTGGGGCCAGCGCAGCTGCCCAGATCCCTCTGCACACAGCAATGCACTTCAAGGGGGGTGGAACAGGCACTGGAAGACAGCCTGGCTGTAACTGGGACACTCTGCCCTGCCGGCTCCTGGGCAAGCTGGGGCCCAGGTGTGTCTGCAGTGGGTGCTGGACAGCTCTGCCACCCCTTGAGAGCCAGGCAAGGGAAAAGGGTGCATTAAGTAACTTGCCTTCATGCTGCCAGAACTGCCTCGGCCCCTGCAACCTTGTACATACCCAGAACTGTTCTAGTAAATGCACTTGGCTAAATCTGTGTCTGTGTCGTGCCTGTGTGCCCAGCACTCTATTGTCATGGCAGCTGTGCTGGACTCAGTGCCTACATCCCCCAAAGCAGAGGGTATCACAGGGCTCTGTTCTAGACAGGCCAGCCCTAGGCAAAGTCAGAGGCGGAAGTGATTCTTTAATGATAATTACATCTTAGAAAGGATCCAACAGCAGCTGATTGTCAGACTTGTACAGTTTGTTTAAAAATATAAAATCTAAGAGGCTCCTATCTGTTCTGGTGCAGGCCTGATTCTTGCCTGTGCCAAGCTGCTCACACATACTGCTTCTTCTTGGTGGCTGCCTTACTGGCCAAGTCCTTGGCTTTTTCCGTAGCAGCTAGAGCTGTCTCCTTGGCTTTCTCGGTTGCTTCCTTGGCCGTCTCCACCAGTGTTTTGGACGGAGCTTCTCCTGTAATATGCGAGTTGTTAACCTAACCCAGCAGTCCCCACCCTGCCTCGGTACTGGAGAGCTGCCCGAATGACCAGCTGATGCAAGCTAGACAAGCCTGAGCTTTGTTGCCTCTTGGGACAGAGGATGTTTCCCCATGTAGTGGGGGAAGGTAAGCTCTACTCCTGACACCCAGCTCCGTGCATCAGGGCACGTCACAAAGGAGAACTGCAGACATGTGACTGCTGTATTACTTCCTCCCTCCTTTCCACACTCCACCACTGCCAAGCTTCACAACAGCCCTCTGAAGAGGCTGGAACTGTAAATGCTACCTGGCTGCTTTGCTCAGGAAGAGCAGGCTGTGCCAAGACAGGGGGGCAAAGGCAAGGGACTAAGATTTCTCAGTCAGTTTAGTTTCAGCCACAACCTGCCCAGGGACTGGAGCGTACTGGTGTGGCCTGTTACCCCAAGAGACCTGACCTGGACAGCCAAGGCTTACCCTCAGGTACTCACCTTGCATTCTTGCTAGCACGTATTCAAATCCCTTAGTGCTCTTGGTCACGTTGCTTTTGAACCTGGCCAGACCAAATTCCTGCAACAGAAGAGCCTGAAGATGCAAGCCCAGATCCTGATTCATACAGAGGTGCTGTCTCTGGGGCTGTAGCCCAGCTCAGTCAGTCCCAAACATCTGGTGGCTCACAGGTGCTATGCTGCCCCTCCAGCACAGGGGCCACTACGGTAATGGTTCGGGGCTCCATGAGCTCATACGGATGGGGACAGGGAATGCTTGAGCGATTGGCTGTCAGCAGCACTCACCTGGACGGCCCGCGAGACACCAAACAGGCTGGAAGAAACCCAGGCTTCTCGCTTGACCTCAGTCCAGTTGCTGTTTTCTGGGTTCACCTGGTAAACGCACCGCTCCTCCACCACCTGCAGGAGGCACAGCCCTGACCGTGAGCGCCACCTGGGGCCCACCCACCCGTGTGCCAGCCCGCCCGCGAGCACCCACCATGAGACGTGCGTGATTGATGTTCCAGGTGAACGTGGTCATGGTTCGGTTCTTGGGGTCCACGATTGAGTCCTCCAGGATGTAGACGGAGTGGGCCACGTTGGCGGGGAAGAAACGCTCTGCCCAGCGGGGCATCCTGTTGGTCTTGGTCAGGAGCCGCCGGGAGAGCAGCTTCTGGTCCGGCGTCACTTCCCGGTGCACGATGTCTTCGGTCAGGACATGTTTGCTACAACGGGGAAGGGGGAAAAACGTCAAGCCCCGCTCCCGGCAGCACCAGGCACCGGCGGGCCGGGGTGGAGGAGGCAGCAGCGGCCTCGGAAGAACCCTTTCGGGGGGG